TGAGGTAACCATATAGTTTATTATGTTTATTAACTATTATAACTATGTAGAAGTAAACATAAGTTGATGAACTTGTTGTTTAAGAATTTTGTACATGATTTGATATTGAAAAATGAATTTTTAGCATGAACATGGGTTTGTGAAATGAATTTAAAAAGTCATAGATTCCAATGGATATGTATATATATATGATATGAAAATAAATGTGATGAAAATATGAATAAGTAGTGATAAGTGTGAAAAAGTATGATAATAAGGGGTGGGAGTTCACTCGAGATATGTGAGTAAAAAATCCATATGGTCGGACTGGCACTATAGAACATCCGATGCAACATTATAGGATTATTACCATGGGATGTATGAGCAGTCCGACAACTCTCTAATATCCGTTAAGATGTGATTAGGAGTCAATAATGTCCCTATCACAAGTGTGTAAAGAGGGAAAAATTATAGTTTGTAGGTAGGTAAGATTACCTTTGGCCGGGTGTTTCCACCACTGAAAATGTGCTCAGGTTAATAAGTAATTGATCCAAGAGAGCCTATGGTTTCATGTCAAGGAGTATTGGAGGTTCAGTGTTTAGATGATCATACTAGTGTGAAATTGTTATGAAAAGATGCACTTATCTCATAATTATGGTGTACTTAATATTATCTTAGTTTTAATACTTTATCATGGTTATTTGTGGTAATAAATATTTGATGAATTATATTGGTTACTGAGATATTTATTTCACCCTATGGTTGTCTTTTACAGGTGAGGGTTTCGGTAGGGGCAAAGGAAGAGAATGAGCATTTGAAGAGTGAAGACCATAGTTGTATAGCTCTTTCTTTTTTCTTTTTGGGTATTGTAATGAATATTATCAATATATAATGCTAACTTAGGAACATGACATTATTTTAGATATCACTTGTATGGATTTGTTATAAGTGTGCGTATCTTCATCTAAGGTTAATGTGGTGAATCATGTGTATGTGTTAGGCCAAGTTACAATTACAAGTGATGAATTTAAATTGAATTATGTGCCTAAAATAACCAAGTTGATGTGTGAGCTAAATACAATCCACCCTTTTATGTTATTGTCAAATAGGAGTTTAGTGATCATTTTAAACGTGATTGTTTATTTGTGTGATATGAATGAATTTTCATATTGTGTGTGGTCCATTTGAGATAGTTAAAGTGTTTCTAGGGTTTATGGCATTTAATATTGTGAGTTGGACACCATTATGTTGCCATAGCTAGAGGGCTTAAAGAGTTTTGTGTGGACACTTGAATCGCTTAAATCAGACGTCGGATGGTGAAATGGTGCGCTTCAGAAGTTTAGAGGGCTGTCATGACAGTAGGTACGCGTTGCGGCACGTGAGGCCTTTGAGGGATTCGTCCTTCTATGCCATCCGTTGTGGCAAGCGTGGCTTGCATTGTAGTGGACGAACTAGATAATTGTAAAATGTCTTGTTTTAGCTTGTTTTGAAGTGATTGAATTTTCATGTTTCCATATTTGTTCTAAATTAGTTTTTAACCATAGTTTGAGCTGAAATAATATTTTAAAAAGGGTTTTCTTAGGATTTTGATATTTTAAACTAATTATCTTTAAATCTTTGGGTTATAATAACTTCTTTATGAAATTTTATTTAATCCTAATTATCACAACGGTGTGTATGAGTGTTGTTTTGGTAATGTTGAGGCGAACATTGTAGGCGCAGTTTTGGTAATAATGATGATAGCTTGTGTGGCAACAAATAAAATAAGCAAAGGTAGTAATATTGTGGTGGTGTGCTTGGATTGATTGAGGTGGTCGGTGAGCTCAAAGTGTTTAGTGTTAGAGGGTTGTCTTTACCATAAGACAATGTTAAGGGCTATAATTTCTATCATAAGATGTTGTTAGGGGGCTATCTCCTCCATAAAAAGTTGTCAGTAAGGTATTATCATCGTAAGTTGCTGATAGTGATGGTGTGCTATAGTAACCACCACCTCCCAGTGGTACGTTTGATGGTGTTGATAAGGTTGATGGTGTCGATAGGATTTTTAAAGGAGGTTCATATAGGGGTGATCCATTACTGCAGTTCCCACTGAGGGCTAGTAAAGGACTTAAGTTATAACTTCCACATCCTTTATGTGATAGGTTTCCATCAAAAGATGGTGAGCCTCCATAGCCACATGCAAAGCCATAAGATGGAGGCCTCTTGTCTGAGCCAACATTAATTATATCATCAAGGTGTCTTTTGCACCAAGACACTCCATGTTGGTAAGCATAATTAGTGTTAATGGTGTAAAATAACAAAAGTTAGGCCAATTTTATGGTTCAGTGACTTTTGCACTAATTTAAATAACATTATGGTTATTCCAATTTTTTTTTCTTACTTTAAGCTATTGGATATTCTTGACTAATAACTTTTTGAGTATTTTTGCTCTTTAATAATTGATCTTGTAAATTAGCTTCAAAAGAACTTCATTTCCAAGAATAAAAATTATTTATAGTTTTTTAACAACAACAAAATTTATAGTTATCAACACTTCTTTTTCCTTGCATTCTTTAGTGAGATATTTTCACTCTTTTTTTTATTTCTCTTGATTCCATTTTAGTTTTATTTTGCATCTTCTTCTCGCAAGTTCTCTCATTAGGTCTTCGTTTTAGATTGATCTCACAAGTTACAAGCTGAGTTGAACTACAATAGCCGCAAACTCTTTCAACAAAAATTTAACATGCATGCCTATAATTTAAACTTGAAACTTTTGACAAGCTAGCACGATTTTTTACCAATATTGAACTACAAGCTCGTTGGTAATAACATAGTTTTAAAACATTTATGTTCACAAGAGTTTTTATGGTCTCACATGTGCAATTTAAGGGTTGATATATGCAATATAGGATTTTTGACATTATGAGGGGTTGATATGTGTTTTAAAAACAAGAAAAGAAGTTTATGTAATTACAATAAAATAGATAGTAGGTTAGTGTATCTAATTTTATTTTTTAAATAAAAACTAAAACGTGTCTTTTTGTTATCAAACGCCTTTTCTAAAAAATCAATAACTTTTAGGAATATTGTGATTGAACCAAACAATTTCAAAAATGCATATGCAAATTAACTTGAGAGAATGACAAATAAATTCCTTTGAAATAAGAAAATGATAATTTACTTTCTTAAAATATAATAATTAGAGTGAGGTTTTAATGAATTTTTTTGATATTAAATTTCTGAGTGAAATTAGTTTAATACTTCTTTATGATTTAGAAAAATGTAATTTTTTAAGTCGTCAATACTTATACTCCAACCGTTTCTACTTGTAGGTGAAAAAAAACTGTATCACACAGTTTAAGAAAATTAATTAACTATATTAATTATATCTATAAATAAAAAAATTGGACTACAATACTTTTTATTAATTGTGTTAATCAAGCCTTTATTAATTATTTATTATGATAATGAATGATAAAATTATAAGGGATAATTTAAAAAGTTTGCAATAAATGCTTATTGAAAAATATAATTTTGTTTATATAAAAAAAACCTAAAATTGATAGTTTCTTTTATAAATAAAAACAGAGGAGTACCAAACTTGCAAATGCTATAAAATTAATTGGATTTTGCTAGCAGAATGTTGTGATTTTTTAAATTATTTTAGTTATTGGTGGAACATAATTTGTGAATACTTATACTAAATTTGTGAATCATATAAAATTAGTTGAACTTTATTGATTGAAGAAAATTATTGATAGAAAGTTGTGATTTGCTAAATCATTTTAGTTATTGATATAATCAAACTTGTAAACCATATAAAATTAATTGCAGAGGGATATTAAAGTAATTTCATATAAAAAAATTAATCTCAAAAAAATCCCTTGGATTTTACTATCATTATTACATTTTGTGGAATCAAATTATCATTCCTATTTTAGAGGGATTTATATGTCATTCTTCCAATTAACTTTTTATGAATTTAATTTCCAAAAATAAAAACACAATGTTTAAAGCTATCAATCAACACTTATTTGTCATTATAATCTTAATTAAATATGATATATAAACAAAATTTAAAGGACCCAGCCAATAATATAGCATTAAACTATAAAAATACATCTCATAACAAATATTTAAAAATATATATTTGATTTTCTTATAAAATAATGGGGATTCTAAATATTGTAGAGTTTGAAAAACGTTGAAAAACGAATCACATTGTTTAAGATCATCATTAATAATATAGCTTGTTAGTTTTTATATTATACCTAGATACATATTGAAAAAGATAAGTTATAAATTTTATAAAAAAAAACTTATATACTTAGCATTATATATTTAAGGTGCTTATTTTTAATTAAATTAAAATATTTGTATCTATTATAGATTATTTATTCTACAATCGACTTTTGTTATTAATATTATTAACATTTTAAAATTTATATATCTTGATTTAATTAAATGAAAGCATATTAAGTATATAAAGATAAACATATAAGTATTGTCCTCTTAAAAATAGTCAAAAATACGTAGAGGTGTAATTTATTATAAAATTTTACAATTTATGATTCTCATATCTAAAATCTCAAAAAGTTATGTTTGTATGAAAATGCGTGGATAACGGGTATCGTGACTTATTATAAAACTTTATATTTATTTTGTAATTAATAAAAACTTAGCATCCCACAATTCCAGATGGATCCGGCCCGGATGATGCTTCGTTGTATACCGAACCAATAATTTCCACATGACAAAGCATGAGGGGCCCTCTAACCTCAATGCAAGCGAAAGAGTTCGTTTCGATCCATTGAAGCTCCCTAGAGCGTAAAGCCTCTGTTTTAGGAGGTATCAACTGTAGCAACGTAGAAGGAGGAGTGACGTAGACGTAGTCTATAAAAACTATACAATTGATGATAGATCATTGGCTTAAACCCACAATGGCAAAGTTCCCTCCTTTCTCAGAGTCGCATTCATGGGTGAGTTGGAATCCCGATTGCGCAATCTTGTTCCGCAAATTATACGAATATGATGAATGTTTACGCCTTTACGGCACTGCCAAAAGCTCACAGACCCGATGCGCACACACGCGTGTGTTGTTATTTCGCATTCATTTCGTTTTCGTCAGTGGATATTAAGTGTTATCGCTCATTCAATTCTGTTGGGTGGTCACTTTACCAGCCCACTACCCACCTAACAATACTCAGAAAACGTTTCCAAGCTCATTGCTTTGCTTCTTGTCCAAGAGCTTCGCTGCATTTTGTTATCACCCCTCCAAAAAAAAAAAAAAACATTAGTTGCGGCAGAATTGGGATGCAATGTTTTTCTGTCGCATAATCATGTACTGAGTTACTTGAATGCTGACAAATTTTGTTGGTAATTGCTGTTCCAAAATGTGGTATTCGAAGTCTACATTTAAATGTATGCATTCCCATTTATCGTTACATGAGCATTTAGTTTGATCTGGATCGTGGGATTTGAGCAGTGTGGGAATGTGGACATATTTGGATAATCTGTGCATCTCAATTGTTGTGTTTGGTTTTTTTAGTTGCATATGTAGCGACTGTCTGAGGATTTAAGAAGTTGCTTGTGAGAATGGCTGATGCAGCGGGTCTAGCTGAGGCAGCAGGGTCAAGATTTACTTCCTTGGAGCTTATTGGACAAGGTTCATTTGGTGATGTCTATAAAGCGTAAGTATTTACTCTTGGACTAGTATATTGTCAATGTAAGATGAGACTACATGTTCGCACTTTGAATTCAGAGTTCTTCTAAATTGCTTTTGTTTAATCAAGTCAATGGGTTTCTTAATAGTTTAAATGTTAGACTTTTTGTCCTGCTACTTCTGCTAGTGCAATTATGCGGACAAGATCCTGTTAGATAAACTTATTTCCAAGTGTTTATTTGTTCCATATAACAATAATATATAACAATGCCTAGTGAGATGAGGCTTGTTGTTGTTTATTTGTTCCATTGCATATAACAATGCCTGACTTTTGAAATCTGTAATTTGATGCAATTGAAAATAAAGGGCCATTACTGAATATTGTAAGAAAGAAAAGCTTTGTATGAACGATGTTATTAAGGAAAATAGAAGGTTGAACTTCCTAACCATATTATATATATAATAACTCAAACTGCTTTCACTTTTTGCTTCTTGTCAAGAACTAGGTGTTTTTGACCCAAATTATCCTGAATTTTTTAATCGTCAAATATTTGATTGTTGGCTCAAATAAATACTGTGAATCATTAAAATAGCTGATCTGTTTCTGGTTTGTGTGCCATTCTATTGGCTCTCTTTTCCCAAAGTTTCTTTCATAGACCAAAGACGTTGCTGAAATTTCCATATCAATTAAAAAGATCCTCTTTTTGTTCGAAAGTTTGTCTAGAAATTAAAGTGATATGCTATGATATTATATGCATGGTTAGGTGTGCATACAATTTATAATTACTCAATATATCACTGTATTCTTAAAAAATTCATGTCCAAGTTTCGAGAGAGCTTACTTTTTGGTAGATATTAGCATCTCTAATGTCCTAGTGTTTTGTGCTGGCATTTCTACAATTATGCATGGACTGCGTGGCAGATAGTAGTTCTATTAGTTGCCTGATTTTTGTTGGTTACCTTATTTTCCTTCTCAAATTAAAGTCTACTTTATAATGTGTAATTATATAGATTGCTGTTTGATTATTTTCTCCAGCCGTTAATTTTGGACCCTTATAGATGGAAGAGAAGCATGTAACTTGTCAAGTTTGTGAATATTTTTATTTGAATTTTTCTAGAGACTGAAAAAGAATCTCAACAAACTGGGCCAGTTATATGTTGTGCTACCTTATTTTCAGGTTTGACAAGGAGCTCAACAAACAGGTTGCTATCAAAGTGATTGATTTGGATGAATCGTAAGTATAATGCTTTCTGCTTAGGCTCAATTTACATATTGCACGATGTTAGGAAGTTATCTATTTAAATTGGGAATAATGCTGTGAAGAAACTTATCTATTTCTATGGAAAGCATTTAAATTGGGAACAATGCTGTGGGAGAACTTATCTACTTCATTTGATTGCCACTTGCACCTAGAACTTTTATGCATTTCCTGCTTTCTGAGCTATTTCATCACCTGCTTTTTCTTATTCTTTTCCATTGCAGGGAGGATGAGATTGATGACATTCAAACGGTATAGTTTATAAATTATTTGTACATTCATCTGCTGCAGGCTAATGATTATAAAAATCTTATTTACTTTTGTCAGGAAATTGCTGTTCTTTCACAATGTCGTTGTCCATACATTACTGAGTATTATGGCTCCTATCTTCATGAAACTAAACTTTTCATCATAATGGAGTACATGGCCGGAGGTTCTGTAGCTGACCTAGTAGGTTACTTCTGTTGACTTGCTAGTTACTATTGTATGTTCAACACATGGAAAATGATGTTGAAGTTTCTCAAAATTCTGGTTCCACTATCTTGATAAAATATTTTTGCTATCTTTGAACTGTGCCATAATTCATCTCCGACAAGTGACAATGTAATGGGTGTATTTATGCATTCAAAATATGTCATATATTTTTTGGTGGACCTAATGGTAATTTTGCTTCTGCAGCTTCAATCAGGCCATCCCCTTGATGAAGTGTCAATCGGTTGCATTTTGCGGGACTTGTTGCATGCTGTTGATTATTTGCATACTGAAGGAAAAATTCATAGAGACATCAAAGGTGGCATCCCCTATCCCATTCCCCTACCTCCACTTTTGACATGCTATATGTAGTCTTGGACCTTTTTTTCCTTACATTAGTTTTATAGTTGACGATATCTACTTATCAATGCTGCAGCAGCAAACATTTTATTGTCTGAGAATGGTGACGTAAAGGTATGTTCTATTCCCAGCAAGGCTATAATCATCTGTTTTTCCTCCAAAGGATGAGTTAAAAAATTTCAACAAAATCATATAAAATAATTTGAGAGTGGACTTGCATGCATTTACATATGATTTTCTAAGTCAATCTGTAACTGTCACAGGTTGCAGATTTTGGTGTTTCTGCGCAGCTAACTAGGACCATATCAAGGAGAAAGGTGAACACATTTTGTTAAGGGTAGACCCTTGATCAAATGATCAATTGGATATGGATTGGCTGTTAACACAAGTTACATTTCTCTTTAAATTTTAATTCAAACTGACAATAATGCTTTTATAACTTGCTGCTCCTATCTTAACCTCCTCTCTAGAACAAAATTCTCTTTCTTCTTTCAGTTAGACTGTTGCTGTAGACTTCAAGAGTGAAATGAATGAAAAAGAGCTGCGTACTGTGGCTTAACCTCATTTGACTTTGACACAGTGATTTAGGGTTTGCGTTTGCTGTTTCTGCCCTTTTTTAGATCTCTGCTATAATATACATCCTTTACTATTATTATTTCATTCAATGATTTTTTAAATATAATTTAATTAATTTTCTTTGAGTTGTAAAATTTAAATTAGTTTTTCATCTCATACTGGATATGCTAATCATTTTGACAACAGACATTTGTAGGAACACCATTCTGGATGGCACCAGAGGTTATTCAGACTGCAGAAGGATATAATGAGAAGGTCATTTCATATCTACTTCTTAAGTCATTTGTTAACTTTTCGATCTAGACAGTTCTTTCTTCTGTTTAGCTTGTTTTGTATTCTCGTTAGACCCTAGAGATCATCAATAAATATTCTGTTTGTGCAGGCAGATATCTGGTCTCTGGGGATCACAACAATTGAGATGGCAAAAGGGGAGCCTCCACTTAGTGACCTTCACCCAATGAGAGTGCTTTTCATCATACCCCGTGAGAACCCACCACAGGTTGTGTTCTTTAATGTCAAACTGATTTATATGAAGTTCGGTGGACAGAAATATTTTTCCCAGTTTAAAAGAGTTGACAATTACTGTTCTTTTGCGCAGCTAGATGATCATTTTTCTCGTCCCATTAAAGAATTTGTTTCACTGTGTTTAAAAAAGCTCCCAGCTGAGGCAAGGGTCTACACCATTCCCACTTTTACTGTTGGTTCAACTTTTTTTTTTTCCTTCTCCCCCTATTGAGCACATAGTATATTTTGTTTTTTACTTGAGAACTTATTATTATTATTTTTTTCGTGGGAAATAATATGACCTTTGAATTGTTAATTCCTGATAGAACCCTATGACATGCAATACATGCATGCCTTCACTTAGTAGGATAAGGCTTATGTTGATATTCTTGAGCACATAGTATAATTAAATTAAGTGAAGCTTCCAGACAGTGATAATGAAAAAAAATTAGTTGTAGACTCCAAAATGAGTGAGAAAAGCTAATAAAGTGCCTCTTTGAAATCATTATTATGCTCACTTTTGTTTGATATTATAGTAAAAATATTCTTTGCTTTTAGCTCAACAATTTAAGTTTTCGAGTTGAAGTCACCCTTATCAAAATATTGAAGCCTTGGTTACTAAGTTGTGTGGAGTTTGATTTTTCCCCCTCCAATCTCTTGATAAAATCTAGTGCAAATTATGTTGAGTTGATGTTTTGTCCGAACTTCCAAGTCCAGTGGTTTTTCATCTGAGATAGATTGGAGATTATGATAAAACCATTCATAAGCTTTCATTTAATGGCTTAAACTTTTGATTTGTTATTTTTGCCGACTTCATTGATACCATATCCAGAACATAATTTTTATGTGATTGTGCTTGATATGCTTTTTGAGGACTTTTGGGAGAAAGATGTAACAAAAGAAACAAAATAGCGAGCATTGAACATGAATATTTAAAGTTTGCTAGTTAAGCAAGCCATTCACTTTCTCTTTGATAAGTTCTCTTCTTTTGAACTTCATTTCAGAGGCCAAGTGCTAAGGAACTTCTCAAACATCGTTTTATACGTACTGCTAGGAAGAGTCCAAAGCTTTTGGAAAGAATAAGGTTTGAATCACTGCTAAAATCTTGCTATATTTTGTTTCATCTTATTCTGACTATGTTGCTTTGTGATTATTTTTTCTATTCTTACTATTTCTAATTACAGTATGATATCTTGAAATAAGAGGAATCTGAACAATGTATAAATTATCCACCAAAGCATTGCAATCATGACTTCTGTAGGAAAAAATTTTAACGTTGATATCCCCTAGCTTGTAGTTGACATCCTGCCTTGTGGTTTTATAGGGAGCGTCCCAAGCATCAAACAAAAGAAGGGGGCACACCTAGAAATGGTCCAATAGGGGAGCCATCTGATACAATGAAAGTAGCAAGAGATTTAAGAGAAGAAGCTACTCAATACATTCCCAGGTAGGTTCTTACTGTTGCTTGTTGTTTTTCTATCATAAACTGAGTTTTCTAATGGAAATTTTCTGATTGACAGTGGTCAGGATAAAACCCTGAAAAATTCTGGATGGGACTTCAGCATTAGTGGATCAGAGGGTACTGGAACTTTTCGCAGTGTTGTGCGACCACCTCAGTATAGAGATAAGAAAACAGATTTTTCGCAAAATCAACTTGACCAAAAGAAGGCACCAGAGAGTGGCTATCATGGGGCATCTTCCTATAGAAGCACTCTTAATGAATCATCAGAAACTTCCCTTGAAGATGTAACTGGCTTTTCTACTAAATGTATTTGTTTGTCTTTGTCAAATAAGTTAGCTTAATCATCAACATTGGGAATGTCAGGGCCTTTTGGTGGTGTATTGTCTAATATGCTGAATTTAATGATCTATGCTAAACCCTGAAATCAAAGTTTTAAATGATTTGAATCGTAGCATGTGAAATTGCTTTTGTTCATTCTATATCACCACCAACTTAAGACATCTAACAAATAAACATTTGAAGTATCAGTTGACCTGGTCCGATGTTTGAAAAAATGGTGCCAATCATGAAGATGGAAATCAATTTCATTCTATAAGTTGATCAATTTGCAGGATCAATTGTCTGGGAATGGATCAGGAACTGTTGTTATTCGATCTCCAAAAGGATCACAATCATCACGCCTTCATGACCAAAGCTCGCTGGTATTCTCCAGCCAGAATTGCTATAATAAGAAATTAGTTAGTTCTTATTGTTGTTCCGTGCACTCACCTGATGGAAGCTTTTTCTGAAACGCAGTCTGGCAGTAGCTATGCTTCTTTTGAAGATACTTCTTGCAGTGGAACTGTTGTTGTCCGTGGTCAGCATGATGATTATGACCCTCCACAGACACTGAGGTCCAGACTGGGACTTAATGAGAGAACTGCAAATGCCTCACTTGAAGATAGTGCCTCAAATCTTGCAGAGGTTCTCTTTGTTATATAAGATGTGAATTACATGTGTGTTTTTTATTTTAGCATGAAGGCATGATGCTGAAAACACAGAACATCTTTCTCTCCTTTTTCCTTTATGAGAGATTGATTGATTGATATTTAGAATTTATTTGGCAAAAAGCCACATTAGATTTTATTATTCTCCTGTATTGTGTATTTGTCGGAGTTACCCTTACATTTGACAGGTTTAGTTTTAGTACTTTTCTCTGATTACATATTTGTTGATACTTTGATTTAACAACCCAAGAATTTGCTTTTTCTTGATTATCCATAAGCAATTTCATTGCTTGGACAGAAAACTTGTCTTTGACAGCATCTTTTTGTCTGCCTAGGCAAAGGCCGCTATCCTAACACCAAGGAAAGGAAATACTCGAGAGAAAGTTGCACAGGAAAAGACGGGCAATGATGTGCAGGAAAGCAGAAGAGACCAAGTGACAAGCAGCTCTGATTTCTCAAGGTACATTCATTATCACAATGCTGGAAGTTTTCTATGCGGAAGGTGTTACTCATATTCTCAATTGTATTTTCAGATCATCTCGTGTATACAATGGTCCACAACAGGGAATTTCAAGGCTGCACCATGCTGTTGATAATCAAGACAATATCAGAATATTGTCATCCTCTATGGCATTATCTGTTTTACTTATTCCTTCTTTAAAAGAGGTGACTATTTTTAAGCAGTCTGGTAGATCTTTTTTTGTGTTGTGGCTTTCTCTTGTTCTAAACTAGGTTATGATATATAGCAGATTGCGCCTATCAAGTTGGCCACTTCTAAAGCAAAGCCATATCCATGTAAAGTGTGAATCTTTCTTAAGTATTAGATTTTGCCCAGTAGTGTTATTCTTCCTGTCCCATGTGCATGTTCATGTCCATGCTTCTCAGGCTTGAGTAAATAATGCAAGGTTCTTAAGTTGTTTCACAGATTGTAGGTCTAGTTTGGACTTGGATTCTTTTCGAATTAGTATTACTTATTTGTAAATAATAAGGCCAAGTTATGATACACTATTCAGAGAATAAATGCAAAGATTTCATAATGATGTCGCGCGCGCGCGCCGGGTTCAGGCAGTGAGGGAGGGATATGAAGAGTCGTTTTGAAGGATTTCACTTGGCAAAGACTATGACCTCTTGAAAGTGTCACTCTTCTACCTTTTATATGTCCGGTTTTAAGTTGAGAAGCTGCACTTTTCTAATTGTAAAACGATTGATAATCTTATAGGAGCCTCTATCTGGAGTTATATTTTTCTGGTGTCTACACACACGCACGCACGCACGCACACAGAGCAATGGAATCAAATCCGTGTGTGTTCTGTTTTGGCACTGACCTTGCTGTCCTTTTATCCAAGTACCCTCAGTTTTTATGCAATAGTACTTTTAGGGTTTGCTAGCTTCAAAGTTTTTATAGGCTTTGCTTTCTTTTAGCTTGAATGGATTTAACCTGCAAAATTTTTAATATTTTTTGGGCATTGACTATGCAGGCCTTTGCTGATGATCCAGAAGGGTCTTTAATACAAGAAATAATCAATTCACTCTTGCACATGGAACACGTGAAGTCTGGATCATGTGATACTCTTGTCAAAAAGTTGCTTCAGCGATTAGCAAGGTTTAAATTCTGTTGCAAGCAAAATTTTATTTTGCATACCAGTAAACAAAAATATGTGTTCTTTTTCATGTTAATTGTACAAGCTAACCCGGTCACCCCATAAAAAATGTTGATCAGTTCAAAGGAATCTTCGGTGAAGGATCTGCAGGAGCTAGCAGCTCAATTATTCACCAAGACCAAGTCAGCTTCTGAAGAATCCCAAAATGCAATTGCAGATGTTGATGGCAGGAGGAAACAACAGAACAGGGAACTTCATTCAAATAGCAATCTAGGCCCTCTTGCAAGATTTCTTATCTCAAGGTTACTGGAAGTTTTTATTTGCCATTCAATCTTTAAAACAGTAAATTCCTTAGATGCTTTATAAGGAGAACATTCATAGGTTTAGCCCAAGTCTATAACATTTGGGCCAATCCATGCACTTTAAGCCAAGCTGGGCTCAGCCTAGTCCAACAACAAAATGCATAAAGTTTTTCTCCTTTTTGAAATTTTGTTTGATAGTCATTTTTCTGGTAATAAATCTAACATGATAAAAACAAGATTGTTTGGACAAAATTACTATTAGATATATCAATATTTGGAATAGTGGCTTGCTATGAAAAAGGGCATACTTCTCAGATTCACTAGCACTAACCATGATTTGAATGTGTCTGGTTCTCTTGTTTCCCAGATGGCAAGGTCAAGCCTGAAGGAATCTAAATCCAGTCTGCAGCGGACTTAGAAGTTGCCCTTTTGTGGTGGTTTCAGTTTACGCAATTAACATTGTTATTAACTGTAAATAGGTCATTGTAAGATCTTGCTTGCCAATTTTCTAATTATCATCACAACCATATATTATTCTTTTTCCACATTCTTTTTCATACAGAGAGGCATTCCTGTTTAATTGCATTTGGGGTTTGTATGGTTTCGAGAAGATTGTTACGTACTATACATTTGACTGGTATTTGTCTTGTGGCAATGCAGAAGAATGAGTCAAGACTTGATTATTTGTGTTTTGGCTCAATTTTATGTTCCCCTTTGTTATGTACAGTCTGAGAAATGAAATTGTCTTCCATGATATCTTTGAATTCAAAGCATGCACCTATCGGAGTATGGTTAAAGTCATGAAATTTCTCACTAATTATCAATTCAGCCATCTTTGTTTTTTTCAACATCAAATCAGCCATCTGGGCTTTAGATATTTGTTACCCAGAATAAAATGTAATTAATAATGAAAAATGAAATTAAAAAATCTTTGTAAATGATAAAAAAATCATATTTGAATTTCTAAATAAAGCAATATGTAAAAGAGATGAATAATATAAAAAATAAATAAACAAAGTAATCACTATATATCTCGATTCGTACACACTAAAATGTTTCATAAATAAAACCCGTCAAACCAAAACTCAATCATTTAGCTCTCATTTAAAAAAAAAAAAAGATTTCCTATTAAAAAGTATAAATTTTGGCGCCAAAGTGCGACACGCATGTGAAAGAAAGGAGAAGGGGGTGAAAAACTCAACTGTCATAAAATTTATTTGTCATATACTTTTAAACTGTAAGTCATAATTGCAGTGGTTAATAATAATAGAAGATCCGCGATAGCCCTGGCATGCATCAATAAGAAATTCTTAGTGGGTCCTAGATTCTACATGATGAGCACGAACTTCTGTTTGGCCAAAGAAGAAACAAAGGCATAATCTTCTATATACCAAAGCCCCTTGAGTTTTTTGAGCATGATGCCTGCCCCTAGTGCTAATATTACCACCATACTCTCCGTCGAGAAGGTTGCTTGGTTGCAGGGGTCAACTTTCGAAATGCGGCATGCAGAATCATGCCTGCAAATTGGATTATGAGCTCAGAATGAGTAGGATAAAGAAAACCAGTTAAGAGAAAAGTGGAGGCAAGCATAGCAAGAGGCTCACCAGTATAACTGACACTTAATCCACAAAAGAGAGCCATCTGAACGTTGAAGAAGATGAGAATAATAGCAGTTGCTGCAAAATTGAAGATTAAAAAAACCAGTTAACCTGGTAAAGATAATGAAACAAGTATTTTTTTTTTTTTTTGGTTGCATGCAATAATATGACACAAATGTACGTTGCAAAAGATAAGGCTGGGTAAGAAGTTTGTTTTCCCATCTTTATGGTTTCTTTCATTTATTCAGGGTTCAAACAACATACAAGTAAATGAAATCAGGATACTCAAGGTGAGATAAATGCCAAGGAATAAGCTCTCATGGAGTTCCTGAAATGGTAAAATGAGGCAATTTTGATAAACTAGGTTCGGACAGGTCGGAATGAGAATCTTGATCGGGATCATATATGATAAACTATCAAGAAATGCTCTTTTACAGAGGCATAGCATTCTTAAATAAGGAACCACCACACCTGGGATAGATATTAAACAAATTATACCGGACTTTTTGCAGCAATTGCAAATACTGGAGGAATTATTGATTCTAGAAGCGTGTTTTCTGCTAAAGCCATATGCTAAAACCTATACCAATTTCATACTCAAGTAATGAAAAGTCAATCATAAATATCAGACATACTCCAATAGAAATTATTCCTCACCACATTGGACAAGGCGAATTAAACACAGTCGAGTCACAGGATATTCAGCTAATCCCCATCTGTCACTACAAAACTTGAAAAATTCCCACAATGCTAAACATGATATCAACCCCAAAAGAGGAACTGGCATCTTATACCTGTAACCATCAATGGCAAACACAATTAGCAAACAACAAAGAGAGCAGAAGGACCATAATGACATAGTCCTGCCTTAAATACCACAAATGCAACATTATGGTATACAGGAATGAGTATTCATCATTCACCAAAGAAACAGTCTTCTTCTTTGAAACTTTTTTACTTGCAACGAAAGTCACAAATATTCTCCAATTATAATTATACTGGACAGCAAGCTATCCTCTAAAGAAGCAGATAGATGGAAAACAAATAATCAACTAACCTCAACCTCTCCCATGTATGAAAAAGAGTAACTAGCAATATGACCCCCGAATTGTTAGGACAATTCAGCTTTCATTTCTCAAAGTTAGTGGATATATAAGATATCTTTCAAAGATTTTTTTTTTTAAAAAAAAAAGACTTATTACATGTGACTATGTGAGTTACGGAAAAACTGTTACTATACTCGCTGATAAAATATTCACTCATTTGGAGTCCGAATATAAAGAATAGAACCCAAGTTCCATCCTTTTCCACAACAACCAGAGCAAGCACATTGATACTTCAAAAGGTAAGAACTAAAAGGCAAAGAAGACCGTACAAAGTGCAGGCAAAGGAGAGGATAAACAGATACGCATAATTACGAGCATAGCGCTTGACATTCTCCTGGACCCTCAAGCGAGCCTGCGACGGTGACGAAGGGAAAGAGTAGGAATCGCAACAGCCAATAAAGGAATGAGACCAGGAGGGCGTGTCGCCGGCGAAATCCTCAGCAGTGAGCTTGGCGAAGGGGTTGACAGTGAAGAGGGAGAGAAAGGTGAGGAGGCGAGAGAACAAGGAGACGAAGAATCCGGTGGTGACCGCCGGAGCAGCGTCGGAATTGGCGGCGGATGAAGATGCGGCCGCAGCGGCGGTGGTGCGTTGGTCGAGAATTTCGAGGTAGCCACTGTCACGAAGCCATGACTCGAAAGCAGGTTCGGGAACGCTGAGAGCCAAGGGATTAGCAGCGAACGCCATTATCGTTGTCTTCTTCCCAACTCCCAAAACGACAACGCTTTCTGTTTGTTCCCTTGGCCTTCACAATGTTTATATTTGGAATCTTTCCTATTTAATTAGTTTCCCTATTTTAATTTTATTTCAAGTCACTCCAATCATAGATTTAATTTAATTACAAGTTACTCTAGTAATAAATTTAATTAACAAGTCATTATTTTGATGGCCAAGGAGTCCTCTGTAATTCTCACAAGAAAATCCTTTTCAATTACATATTTGAGTTTTTACAATCATATCTATTTGCGTGATATTCTTAATTTTATATTTACTTCAATGAATATCTTTTGAGGAAAGAATTATTAAAAAGCAAAGATTTTGACAAATCATGTGAAATACAAAATATAGTAATATACTAGTAACTAGCAATAGTAATTACCCTTCATATCTAGTCAATTCAAATTATCGAAGAAAACTTTTAAAGGTCTTGATTTCTATTTATTAATTAATCAATGTATTTTTAATTAATGAAATTGTTTGAAAGAAAATACTGATTGGCCGAAAAGAAAGAAAATATTGGGATTTTTAAAATCGAGTGGAATTATTTAATCAAGTAAAGAAGTGAAATATGAAAGAAAGGGAAGCAACACTGGAGCTTTGCCTACATTTGGCAAAAAGAAATGCAACTCTTTGTTAGCTATATAAATGATATGTGCATGCTAAGCATCTCATATAATGGCCGCGATCGAGCGCGAAGATACATGAGAGACCTAAGAAAAAATACCAGAAAAAAAAAATCAAAAACTTTAAACCTCACTTCTCACTCTTTTTTAATATCAAAATTCAGTAAAATCTCCTCAACACTCCCCTTCATATCCCTCAAACCAAACAAACTATAAAAATTAATAGAAGTTAAGTATTGAGTAATTTTACAAAAGTTAATGTCCAGAAAATGTGAATAGAATTCTATTAAAATTACAAATAAATAACTGTATTTTTTATTCCCCATACATCTGTTTCTATTTATTAGATAGAAATAACCAATAACTTCAACATAAATAAATTGTTTTGTTTAAAATTTGTTATCCAATTAAATTCAAATATAAACCACCACCTTATCCACGTTAAAACGCAGCCAGTTTTAAATTACTTCAGTTACACTTCAATTGGTTTCGCGCTATATAGTAATAATTTAGATTAAATTTGATAGGATAGAAAACCAAATTGAAAGGAATCAAGATGTTCTTAACAACAATAATGCCTAATTCTAAGTAGAGGATTAAAAATCTATAGAGGAGCAAAGAGTGCATTGTTTAAAATAGGCCACATACATTACATAATCACAGTTTATTATTAGTATTTTGATTACAACACAGTTATCAAAAAAGCTCATTTTGCAAAAGATAAATGGTAACAATATTCAGAGAGGCTCCTTCAAGTCCAGATCCTTGCAAATTCAAAAGCAAAAATAATGTTTCAAAACTTTCTCATATCGACAAATAGATCAAAATTTTCACCTCACAACAATAACTTATTTGCCACCTTCCAACTATAATTTTCAGAGAGTCTAGAGTGAAATACTAGTATGAGTTAACATCATTAGGATAAAAATTAAAGAAGACCACCTACTTCTTGGCGTGTAAAAGCTCAACAATCCATCAATTTTATAAATTCAGGAGTCACTTGCAAGTAACCCAAAGACCAAGAGTTTTCCTCTGCATCATTTTAACCGTGATAAATAAATAAAACTAATCATAAATAGACATATAAACATGCCCGACAAAATCCATCTTCTACATGCTTACATGTTATATAGTTAACTTATTCTACTTCACCTAGTCTGTCATCTAAAATAAAATTTCCTGTATAAAGTATTACAGTTTCAAGGACTACCTATAGCCGAAGTGACATTTTACCATAAATATTTTACTTTCCTGGTTATTCATTTACTCTTTCCATGCGGGAGATAATGACTCCGCATAATCTTTTCTCACCAGAAGCAAAGATAAAGATCATCGCTTCAGTTGCCTTCTAGCCAAAGCTGGAGTTTTCCTTGGTATATAGACCTTGTAGCTTACCTGAGATTTCACAGGCTAATTGTAAGATAACAGTGTATTTTTAAGGCCTTTAATTGACCGTCATGATAAGTAACATAAAAATCTAAGACATCGTCATAAACTGACCTGTACCATTTCACCACCCCGCATCACATTCATTGTTTTCTGTTCAAATTGGGATCCCTGACTGGCTTCACCTTGCAAATTGTTTGAGCTATTTTCGACAGGTGAACTTTCAGGGGAAGGTTTAACAATAGCAGAAACACACGGCTTATCAACGTCTCTTCCACTACTAGTAACTCTCTGAATCGCATCATGAGTCTTAGCTGCATTCTCGTCTACATTAACCCCAGTCAATGGGCAATTAGTATGAAGTTTGTCCAAGGCTGATGTCTGCTTCAATTCAAATTGAAAGTGATCCTTAACTTCATCCTGCTCTTTCAAAGGTTTCGACGTTGCAGAACACAACACCCTCATGTTATTGACATCATCTTTGCTACAGTGAACTAGATCAGAAGTACACCTATCTATAGTATTCTGTGTGACCACCAACTTTTTATGTTCTGAATTGTTAGACATGTAACTAGCAGAAGCTGTGACTGTTTCACTATGGTTTTCTGCATCAATTACCTTTACTGAAGAACAGGAAGAATGATGTCCGAGTGATACAGATGTACCTTTCACACTGTTTAGATCCTTTTCATTTTTGCTTGAAGAAGCAACTGACTTTCTACTCCCTGTAGCCAAATCAACACCTTCTTCATGGTTTATCATGTCAAAATTTCCCCCCTTACCTGCATTATTGACAATAGACTTGTCTTGAGCCAGTTGAGCCTGTTCACGGTTTTGAAAAGGAGGTTGAATCACATCGTTATCTGTTCTAATATTCTGACTGGAAGCTTTTGCACTTGACTGGATCTCACCTCGGAACTTTCTCAAGTTTTCCAATGCCCTTTGTCTTAGAATTGCCTCCAAGTTATCACCATTCAGACTTGCCCCAGAAGTCTCACTTGTTTTCTTCTCCACAGAATCACTGGCTCCAGCACCATTAACATCAAGTTCACTTCTGTCAAATTGGCTGCTGTTGTTATAGCTCTGATCTCTTCTGGGTTCTGTTAAATTAGAATCAGCAGTCCTGTCAACTTCTTTATCCTCAATTCCCAGTTTTTCTTTTGAAGCAGAAAGTGAATGATGGTCTGTTTCTCTCTTACTGCCCCCATCATTACTGTCATTGCTTCTACAAGGGTAATCATGATCATCAACAATCTCCTCTTTAGTCTCATTGTGACACAATTCTCCCGCTTCTTTTGCCTCCTCTGTAACAGTAATAACTGATTTGAGCCGCCTCGAGTTGTTCTTGTCCACACATTTCTCCTCGGTCCATTTATCACTACTTTCACTAGAGAAACTGCAGGATGAGCAACTTCTGGCTCTATACCTATTACTTCTTTCACTTCCACTTTTGCCTCTATCCGGTCTTTTTTCCCTTCCTTTTCTTTCTACTCTTCCCCTATGCCTTTCAGGTTCATTATCATCACAGCTAGCATTCTCACCATGACAAGTTGAGCAGCTCAATGACCCATTGCTCATAGAACTAACACTTTCTTCTTTCCTAAGCTTTTTCTTCTTATGCGGTTTCTCTCTTGCCTCTTGCACATTCTTTCTCTTTTCCCTTTTTCTCTTCTTATCATGACGAGAGTCATCACTGCTTTCGTGTCTATATGATCGTCTCTTGGCCATCTTCCTTCGACCTTTCTCATCTTTCCTTTTGGAAGACCAAGCCCTTCTGCTTTTATAGCTATCCTCAGAACTAGAAGACAATGACGAGTCTGAACTCACTGAATCACTATAGTCAGAGATGGAAAGAGATGCCTCACGCCGCTGAAGTTTCTTGGATGCACGTCTCCTGCTCTTACTTTTTCTGCTTGCCCGAACCTGAACCAGTAAATTGAAGAGTCAATCATGCAGAAATTCCCTTGCCAATTCCACAGTCAAATCATCCTATATTGCACAGGCATGGGTTTGACACTTTGACTATTGAACAGCTGGTAATATATACTTATAGATGGAAAGTACGTTAAAATACATCACAATACTTAAAACAATAAAAAGAGATAATGAATGTATAATCAATCCAGCTATCAACCCAAGTTATCTATTATGATAATTAAAACTACACCAGAGTAATATGTGAGTAATTGTGCAAGCAACGCTGTAAAATTCTTCTTAAATTATTTTCTAAGTATTTGTTGGCTTAGTAAGATTTATTTCAGGAAGCAAACCTGCACCAGGGAAGTCATGAATCTAGAAGTGCCCGTGCTTAATAGCAACCAAATTTACAAATTTATAAACCAAATGCACAAAGAATGGGTACGAAAACCAAACGACCAAATCAAAAAATGTCATCTCTAACAAGAAGAAAAACTTGAAGTATAACCCAGCAAAGAATTTCTAGAATCCAGAAAGAAAAAATTCTTTCACAGGTAACTATATTTCTACGCTCACTCGTTTCTGTTCCGGAAGCATCCGTGAATCAGAAAGTTGACCTCTTCTCGGAACACTTGTAAATCTGAAGCGAAAAAATCAATACCCAAGAATGCAATGGTGGCATTTTTTTTTTTTTTTGGGGGGGGGGGGGATGAGTGGATGGTGATAAATGGATCGTACCTTCGAGGATTTCTTTGAACGTTTCCTCTTGCGCAAAGCGGACGATTTCCCCATTCGAGAACCCTGCGAAATCGAACATTCAGCAACAACCGAAGGGGGAGAATATAAAGGAAAAAGGAAAGAAATCCAAATCGTTAATAATTGAAGAAAATTTTTGGGAAAGGCATCGTGAAAGTACACAAGATAAAATGGTTCTTTCTACTCCACAAGTGCCACGAGTCCGGGCTAGTGGAGCTTGTGGGAGGGTCATAGTTTTGATGTTGGGATTTTTAATTCAATAATAATAATAATAATAATAATAATAATAGTTGATTTATTTTTGTCAGAGTAATAATAATTGATTTAAGCCATTTAACTTCCCTCTTCACCATCAGTAAATCTAGACCTAATGCTTTCTTTCCCCTAAAAAACAAGGCTCAACTGAGTTACATTATTCATGTGCTTAATCAGATGCGAATATACGTCTCATATACGTACATCGGCGTCCGATGCGCTTTTTTGGTCTAGCATGGCGGGTATGGCTCCCAATATTGCAGATGCATTTTGGACATGGCAGATACGTCTCAAATACATAACGTTGTGTCTTGGATTGAGTTTTTACAACTAAAGCCCTAAGGTTTAAAAAACTCACCATTTGCATAACTTTTCGTCTTCATTCTCTAGCCCACTCGTCTCATCTTGAAGTCACTCTATCATGGCATGTGTCAGTGCTGATTTTCCGTCGAACTCTTGCTTGTCTCGCCAATCACCCTTGTTCATCTCCTCAGGTCGGTCCTCTCCCTCCCTGCTGATTGTTCTATGTTCTGAAATCTGACGAAGTCTAAACTTCTAGTCGGTCATCGTTCTTGTTTGTTTGCGTGGAGTTGCTATATGAGAATATTACTTTTAGTGACCGGCAATTTATGATATATTTAGTAATTTTTTTGCAAGCATTGGAGTTTTGATGATAAATCTTGCGTGAATAGATTTGTCATGGCATTTGAGTCAAAATTCTCATTGTTGAGGCCTTTAAGCTTTCCAAATTTTTTAGGTGCAGAATGCCAATAAGATGAAGAAAGTAGTAAAGCTTGCAAAAAAATGTTTAAACAAAACAAGAATTTAGGTCATCACGGTGCTTAACGTGACAAGTTTCTATTTTGTATTTTTTAACCCCATTTCTAAATTTTAAGAAGTCACAAAAGCATCCCATCCATCCACAATGTCCTATGTTCAGTATTTTTACACCATTAAACAATATAATAGCTGGAAAGTTAGCAATTACTTTTCATCAATCTTGTCACATACTTATTGAACTCTGCATGATTATCAAAGTTAGTTGATACACTGCCCAGCTTTTCAAACAATAATTAATATTTTGATCAAACTTCCATGATTCTTGGATTACAACTCAAATAGGGACTAATAAGTCCAGCTAGCCTGCTAATTTTTTTGGTTTTTAAATTTTTGGTGCATGCGCTTGTAGATAAAACCGATTAAAATTGTCAAGCATTTCTAAGCCTAGTGGAAATTCAATAATTATTGTATCGAAAAAAACTCTACCACAAAAGTCTTTCCAATTTTGATAGTAAAGCCACGTGTCTCAGTGACCTACATCCTTTAAGGCATAAAAGAAACAAATTGTTTTAAATCACAGGTTTTGGCAAACATTCAATTACATTACTAAGAAAAATTTAACCTCTGAAAAGAAAGTTGTGTGCAAAAAAAAGCATATGAGACATGCTAGAGATTGCTGTCTAGCAAAAAAAAAAGAAAGAGAAAATTTAGATAGCTTAAAGAAATGCTAATAGAAATGTTTTTATATAAGTCTTAAAACAAAATCTATCTTTAACACCAATTGTTTAGAATTGGAAGTGACCGTCTAAAAATAGGATGGGCATAAATAGATAAAGAGAGCTACGGACGTGAAATTAAGGTTAATCTAATTTTAGGTTTTCAAAAAATATAACAATCACAAGTTCTTACACTCCTCTTAGTAGAGGAGAACAGTGACAATAACAAACAAACCTTATTTGACATGTTAGCTTGTGAATAATGCAGCTGCAGCATACGTAAGTCTTTGTGAATTCAACTAGGGCTAGTTCCATTATGATTTTTAGATGTTTGGAATGAAACTAGATTTTGATATCACCTCTAATATCATTTGTTAGGAGTTATATTCATTCTAATTTGTCTCTAGATTTGATGTATTTAATCATTTGATGACAAAACTTTTTAATTAAAAAGGAAGATTGAGAATAAAAAAAATCATGCAATTTTTTATACACATCTTGTAACTTATTTTTAATATGGGAATTACTCCTTCATTTTTGCCACATAGTTCAACTGCTAAATGACTTAAGAACTCTTAACATATACACTTATTCTATGATATATTCTTTTATTCTCATGCTTTTTACTATTTTGACAATAACAGAAATACTTTTTCACAACAAGCTTGTTATTTCCTTAATTTCATTATATATAATTATATTATATTTGATAACTTCTTTAAATAAGTCATAGGCATCTTTCTTATTTTGAGTCTTGATTTGAATGCAATTTTTTTGGCAATTCATACCTCAGCAAATTTCTAATGAATATGTTGTCAGAATCAATCCATTGCTTTTATTTTAAATAGGAAATCTCACTTGGTGTTAAAAAAAATATTCCAAACATGATCTAAAATTTAAACAGTCTTCTTTTATCAACAAGTGTTTTAATTTTGTTGTCATCCATTTTTCCTTATGTTCATGGGAGATATCTAAGTTAATAGACTTAGTAATAATCATTTGAAAGCAGATTCACACTAAAACTCTAACCCAATCAACCAAGTGACATTATCAAAACCATCACTTTCTAGGAGTTTATAATAGATATTAGTGGTGATAATTGTTTTCCCTTATCTACCATTCTCCATATCCTAATTCTAGAGACAATCATTTTATTAAAGGAATTGTCGTAATAGGTGAAAATATTGTAAAAAAAATTCACATATATCAAAATTTTGCAAATTTATTAAACTCTGCGTTATTATTGAAATGTGATGAAATGTTCTATAACTTTGCAAATTGTAATAAATCTTTCTATCTAACTTCCATTGTTCTTGGATTATAATTCAAATGAGGGTCAACAAGTTGTGTCAACATGCTAAAATCAACTTTCCTTTTCATTATTGACGGATGTGCTTGTTGGTCAAACCATTTAATATTAAGCATTTCTAAGCTCGGTGCAAAATCAACAACTCATATATCAAAATAACTCAACCACTCGAGTCTTTTTAGCTTTGACAGAGAAAGCACATGTCTCAGTGGCATGCTAGAATTTCATGTCTTGCACTATAAAATCACAAGATTTGGATAGCTCGAAGAAACACCGCATGTAAACAACGGCAAGTAACCTTCTATAAATGAAGGGAGTACAAACAGACGAGGAAAGCAGTGGACCAAGTGCAGACTGCTCAAATGTGCGTGATTTAGGGCTTATAATGTCTTCTTTTTCATACAAATCCTAGCCAAAATTCATCTCTAATACCACCTATTTGAAATGAGGAAAAGTTTATATATTCCCTCTAATCTTACTCCCTCCAAATAGATTATAGTTAATGAATTTACATTTCTAAAAAAAAAGTTAGTTAAAATCTTGATTTTTTTTAAAAAAAAAATCATATCTTTTGAATTGTATCTTGAGTGAAATGAATATAACATTGAACTTATTCAAAAACTCTTCATTAATTATACCTCAAAGTATTAAAAATATTTTATATTTTTAAACGAATGGAGTATACATATTTCTAATTATACCTCTACTTTATTGGAGACTAGATTCAGTTAAAAATATATTATATTTTTAAATGTAAAGAGTGTGTGTGTGTGTGTATATAACCTATCCAATATCATATATTTTGGACTAAGTAGGACTTTTGAAAAATGTCTTACATTTTAGTCAAGAGGAAATATAAACAAGTCACATTTTAGAAAAAAATTATGGTTCTTTTTATAATTTATTTTGTATAAAAATGTGGATCATTAAGTGCTTTTTTTAAATTTTACATTTTTACATTTTTCTATGAGTAGATAATAAAAATTTACTTGAGAAAAAGTGTTTTACAAATGATGCATTTAATAAAGGTAAATTGAAAATATTTTTTAGACAAAATCAATAATTTAACCGCATTTCTTTAATTTTGATGAGATAATTTAAAATATTTTATAAATAATATAGGAAAGAGTATTGTACTTTTCAGATTTGATCTATTGAATTTCAGAGTCTTCGGCTTTAGGATGTACCTGTTATGTTTCTCATTTACTTGTTCTAGGATGTTACTGTCTTTTATTCTTTATTCTTTGTATATTTACCTTATATTATTAATTATTAGCATATCACTATGTTTTACCAAAAAGGTAAAAGTTAATGTATTTTTAATTTTATTCTATCTTTTTTAATTAAATCTGATATTTCAATAATATGATATAATCCTTTTTATTTTTGTTTGAGTTTATGCTGTCAAGAAAAAAGAGTTAGCATGCTTTGTTGATTTGGAAGAATGACAAATAAAGATCTTATAAGAATATTAATATTAAATTACAATTTTTCAATACTAACATTTTTAAATTTTAATACTTCTTCTATCATGTTTCAGAATTAAAATTTTTAATTTAATATTAGTATTCTTACAAAACCCTTACTTTTCATTCTCCCTTTCAGTTTTTTATTAAAATACATAAAGTATTTTTTTAAAATATTCATAGCACATTTTTAAATGCTACTAACATAATATCAATTAGTTTTTTCTTTTCATGCCAAAAAAATAGTTTTCCATTTGAGAGAAACTTTTTTTTTATGAAAAAAACTTTTATATAATATATTTTTAACCTAACATGATTGCCATTCTTTTCAACTGGCTAATGGCTATCATATTATTGAACACTATAAGCTTTGAAAAGTCACAATATTTTCAAACAAAATTGAACTTTTTTCCCTTTTCTTGATTGCCAAATGGGGAAAATCGTTTGGCATCAATTATTATTTGTTATTATTTAACTGTATCATATTATTTGAACTAATTGTAAATTTCTTTTGTTATTATTTAAATGTATTATATTATTTGAAATGAATAATAGTTAATATCAATATTATCATAAATACACATTTATAAAAGTTGTAGAGCAAGTAACAAAACAGAGGGGCTTATTTTATATCAAGTCATTCCTCCAATTGCTTACAAGAAAATCATTGATTCTGCAACCAACAGGATGGATAAATGACACCTAACCAAAATTTTCACATAGAAGAGACTAGAGAGTTGTGTTATTGTCTGAACTTCATGCTCCGTCAAGGATCTCAATGTCACCTAAGTGAAGTCAGATACTAAAATAATAGGGATTGAGTTAGAGATACATTCAACAATAAGGCTCATTAGCTCATCTACTACATTAAGCGTTTAATCCCTTTCCATCTAAAAGCTTTACACACTGGTGAAATCTCTCCTGTTCATCTGCTCCACTATATTGAAAGAAAATAGTAAAAATCAAGCATGGTTGATCCTAAAAAGTTTCAAAGCTACACCATTATTATTATAATCATTATAATTATTCACAAATAACAGTAACAAAACCAGTGTTTGATGACCAGAACAAAAGATGCTAAGCTTCTTCAGCATCACTCATGCAGGCATGGGTGTCAATATAGAATTCAGGAGAGATATCAATTTCATCAACAATCCTTCCTCTGTAACATGGACAAGCAAGGAATACACAATCAGTAAAACCACATTGGATAACCCAAGAAGATATTTAGCAAAGATGATAATAGAATTGGATGATACCTCTCAAGAACAAACTTCCCCTCTTTATACTTTTGGCTCTTCTCATGCACAGTTTCCTGTGGAAGAAAAATATTGTTAACGGAATTAGAGTCTTTTGACAGCTGACTACAACTACAGAAGGGGAGCTGATGCATGATAAACACTCCAGTGTCTCTCTTCTATACTTGTCCCTCTCCGAAGGCCAGGTTGCGACCGAATCGGATTTCAGAAGGCCTAAGCCCGTCATTAAAAGCCAAGTAATGACCCAAGGCTAAAGCTTTGAGCTTGGCCCAATTATCTTTCATACAAATAAAATATAGCTCAAATCTGATTTAAAAAACACAGTTAAGTACTCAATATAATTTGCAAATAAGAAATCTTTTTCATTCAAACACAATAATGCAAAATTTAAAGAGTAAAAGAATAGATAGATAATCTGTTTGTTTGACTGGAAGAGGCCAAGCCCTGCCTGACTTTAAAGGGAATACTATATATAGGATGATGGGCTTGTGTTTAAGACCGATGGCCTGGATTATGCTGGGCTACCCACGGACCAGACTAATCCACAAACAGTTCTGTCCAGAATATGCATTTTAAGAGTTTTCATTTACAACACTATTTGCAGATGCAAAAAGATGGAAGGGTAAAATAGTGGAATATTACATATTTCCAGCCAACTATTTGACCACAGCAACAGCAAAAGACATCTGCCACCGTATGCAATCCCGAAAGCATCATCCTTTCCTCTAGTACTCCAGCTGTGACGTTCACGCTAGATGACAGGCCCAAAACATTAGCATCTTGAAATAATCAGAACAAGCAATATTTTCATCGAAAAATGAAGGAACCAGACAACTTCTTGATCATACAAATACAATACTTAAAATCAGTGCAAGATAAAAGAGAGATAAAACCTGATTTCTGGTTTCTTTTTTGCTATAATGAGCTATGAAAAAGTTAGCCTTGGAACATGCTTTCAAACTCTCTCTCCAGCTCTCCCTCCCCCGCTCTCTCTCTCAATGCATGCATGTGTGGAAGTTCTCATCTTGAATTTCACTTCTCAAATACAAGAAACTCTCAAATATTGTTGCAGGCCCATAATCATCCAATTTTTCTAAAATTCAGCATGTACAGACAGCATCTTCATTATTTTTAATTAAAGAGTTGAATCAAACCCAGTCAAATCTATAGGAAGAAAAGTTGAAATGAAAATAAAATCAATGGATGGCCACAACATGATATTCATAACATTAGAAATAAGATGGGGAAAAAAATAACGAAAATCCGACTCACTACAATCAACTCGGAAACAATTCCATGATCTTCCTCCTCTAAACACAATAAATTAAAAACAGTAAATATGACATGGGAGGCAAGAAACTTTTAAGTTGAGGAATAAGAAATAATGAATTTATAACTGAGAAATTTACATTCCAACAACACAATGAAAAAAAAAAATAATCCATCTTGACATAGAAACACAAAAGTTAATGGCTTTATTTCCGAAGATACATCACAGGCATATTTATTTAAGGCGTGCACCTAAAAGTTAAACAATTTTGGGGTATGATTTTTAAAGACGTGTTGTTTCAGGAAATGGCTAGATAATCCAGCATGAACAGTGCACCATATCTTCAATAATTCTTTGAACAGCTGCAAATCTAAACCATATCATAGATTAAAATTTGGGTATAGTCAAAGCAATGGTCAAACTTAAGCCAACAAAATAGATTCCATTATTTCCAAATTTTGGTCGCATGGAAAGAGCTGAAATCAATTTCTTAGAAAGTCACTGTAACCAAATCCAAGCTCACTGTCTACAAAATGTTAGTAAAACTTTATCTACTTACATCATTCTTTAGAGCATGGTTACATATTCTCTGGATATCCCCTTATTAGAGTACTACAATCACAGCCAACGATTTGAAGATTCCAAGTTCACTTATCAGAAAGCTTTCAATTTGCACATAACTGTACATATGTTAGTGAAGAAAGAGGAGAAGAGCTGAAGAAATGAGGAGAAGAGATGAAGAATTATCCCTGAATAATTGTATTTCTTCTGAATGCATTAACAAGCGATGGGACTCAGGCACTCAGTGAGCTACAGACCTAGTGCTAAAGAGAATTTTATAATAATGTCCCTGAGAGTAAGGTCACTTACAATAAAACTCCTGATCAAATAAAAGAAAAGGGAAAACTAGGAATTCAAGTTATCACACTTAAAGTCATGAGTGACAAGCTGCTAATGTTAACGACTTAACATACAAGTTAAAACACAAACGCTATCATAAGTCATTATTCTTCATAATTGAATATCCAGTAAGAAGTGCAAAGTACTTACACATTACTGAAAAGGTACGCTTTTCCCCGTCTGCAATTAAAAGCCTGAGAATAATGATAAAATAATTTTGTTTAATGAATTAGAATTTTTGGATCTATCATAGCATTTTAAGCACTATAATAACTAAAACCAAGCAAAATAAACAACATAAGGATGATGCTTGCAATAAGAAGCAATAAATTTAGATTTTCATCTCTTTTTACCCTCACAAAAAATTATAAGAAACTATATTTTTATAATTATCCCTATTATATGAAGACACCATATCACAGTAAGATAAATACAAGCAACAATACTAAATGAAGCTAAGCTGGCGGCACAGGAACAGTCAGAGAAACTTATTTCTAATCATGTCAACACAGGCACTTCTTCTCCTTGGCTTATGCACACCAATGGTTCAAGCTAGTTCTTATTGAAGCTTTTTTACGTTCTTTACAGGTCTTTTAAGTGACCGGCAATAGTTAGGGTTGGAGCTATGATAAGAATAATTAAATCACATCTGAGGAAAGGAAAGTAGCAAAGAATGCTCCTAAAAAAATGTCTGGAAAAGGGTAGAAATGATAAGGAAAGTATGAACACTTTGCAACGAGCTTACAACCCAAGGCATAGTAAGAAACTCATCCACAATGGTAGACATAAATTATTCCTCTAGTGGATGCTGTCTTAGTTGACAACCTCCAGTGAGCAGATTAGATACAAGAAGCAATCGCTGCCATCGGTTGGGGTTTTACAAATTGAAGCAGAAATAAATTAACACCTTAGAATAAGATGTTAGAATAACAATAACCTCGTTGCAAAATTCCTTGGCAAAACCAATCTGGAAAAAATTAATTGATCTAATCAATTACGAACAAAATTTTACGCGTCAGAAGTATGCCTCGCTGAGAAGCATATCAATATGTTCAGCGTTTAAAAATGATTGATTTACTCAAACAATCTTCGTAGACCTAATGTCACAATACTCAGTCAGATCCTTTGCCCAGGCTTTATCACAACATACGTTCCCTCATGAAATCCACAAAGTAAAAACTTTGTTATCCGATGGATTCCCAGACACAAAGAAGGTGGGAGAGCGAAATATCACATTTTCATTTGAATGAATAGCGAAATGTTCAACCTACTAAATGAGCTTTAATTCTTCCAATAATGGAGCATAACATTTCATGATTTCAAGCTTTTGAAGGTTTCTGAGTGTCAATAACAGTTCTCTAGCACGACTGCTTCGAACTACTTCAGTATAAGAGTATAAAACTACCCAGATCCTATTAACTAACTATACAAGAATTAACCCTGAAGATTTGATTGCTGGAGTTGTTAAAAGCTTAATCGTCACTAAATCATGCTGGCACATCCAATTTATAAACCTCACAGGCCCAAATTACACAAAAGACAATAAATTTTCAAACGGTAACAAGGATAAAGAATCGTTCTTCCCAATCAGAAAATTGAAGGTCTAAGGTTACCAATCGAGAAATAACAATACCCGAGAGATGAGATCATCGGCTAGGGCCAAGTGGGTTTTGCAGAACTTGCATCTGTAAGACCTACCATCTAACTCCACCACGAAGATTCTTCCCATTTTTCCTGTTCTGCTTTTCTTTATTACGGAGACTCACCCGAACCTAACCCAAATCAAAGACAAAAGAGAGATTTCAGAGTCCACATGAAAACGAACAGGGGACCAACGAAGAGTTAGAAACGAGTCACGACATGCTGTGAAGAAAATCGGCGGAACAACACGGTGGAAGCTGGGGAGTGCAAACTCGCCTCTGCTCTGCAGCACTCTGATAAGATCAGCCGGCGCCGGGATTTTCTTTTTGTTTTATATAATTACCCATTCTTTATGAGCTAAACGGTTGGACCATATTCACAGCAAAACTCTCCCACGAAAGTTTAACGTGGTTATTTATTTAGGATTCAGATCAAATTAGCATAACCCCGCGTCACAGATCTTTATTAGTTTTATCAAATTTTATTTTTAGTTTTTATAATTCTTTTCAGTTTTTTTAATTTTTATAATTTTAATAAAATTAAATAATATTTGTTGCTCAGATCTATTTTTAGTTTCCATAAAAATTAAAAATAAAATAGCTGTACTCTTTTTTAATATGACGTGAATGTGAAAATCTTGCTTTTCTTTTTCCCTCGCCTTATCTCTCTCCGTTTCTTTTTAAAGAACCGTCCGTGTTCAATGGGCTTCAAAGGCCCACATCTAACTTGTGTTAGTCCAATAATCCATAAGGTGGATATCCTCAATATATATCAATCAGTATCAATATTTATATATTCTTTCCATTCCTTTTTATGTGGAGAGATGGTTAAACCGTTAACTTATCTAAAAATGAACAAAATATTCAGCTTTAACCATATTTAAACCCATGTATTAAAATCTAAGGATTAAAAGGTGATTTCACCCTTAAACTATAGGTGCAAGAAGGTTTAAAACTCTAAATTTATTTTTGATACAATATTACTTTTTAATTTTTAAAAATGATGCAATGTTATCTCTACTGTTAACAATAGTTAACTTTAACTATTAATTAACTAAAAAATTACATAAATGAACGTCAAACATTATGAATAAGGACCTCATTTTTTGCAATTTTTTGTCAATTAATGATTCAAGTTAATTTTTGTTAATGGTAGAGACAGCATTACACTATTTTCAAAATTGAATGAAAATATTATACTAAAAATGAGTTTAGGTTTTCAAACACTTCTTTACTTATATTATTTGGAGATAAATTTGTCATTTAATCTAAATAATAATAATGAAAATTATTATACTTCCCCGCATTTTTCAACAAACTTTTAATAGGGCAACATTGGAAAAATATGATAATTCATCAAATGGCTTATAAAAATAACCAATCATTCATTCTTATACGTGTCTTATATAAAATATTAGAAAGTGTATTAAGCTGCATAAATCATGAACAATATGACTCATTTTTTAAAGTTTATATAACATACGATGTTAGGGTATAATTATCTTGTATTTTATATTTTTGATAATTTTTCTATGAGATTATTGATTCTTTTAACTAGTTTCAAAATGAATGACTAATTCCATGAATAGACCACCTTCATGGTAGGACTGAGTCTGGTCTCTAGCCTGTAAGCATGAAAACTCTGGAGACTTGTTGACTTTCATGACTAAAAACCAAATGGCGGGTCTCGGTGACGAATCCAGAAGCTCACTTTTTGTAAGGTGTAGCAACTTGTGGTCATCGATCGAGATGAACAATTGCGTTGAAAAAGTGTGTTGTAAAAACTGTCTTAATTTGATCTGTATCTGAAAATAAATGTCTTCATTTCATAAGCAGACGGATTTAAAGGCAAATTATCAGGAAAAAAAAAGACACTTTGACAAAAATAGGTTTTATTAACTGTGCTTTTTTTAACAATACCATTCACTTATATTCTCTCTCTCTAATATTTTTTTCATAAATGAATTATTAAATAAAAAGTATTTTTAAATGTTTATATTTTTTGTTTTAAAAAAATAAGGCTGTAAAACATATTTAATAAGTTTTATTGATATATAGATATATATATATATATATATATATATAATTTTTATTTAAAAGTATTTTATAACTTGAGATGGGTGTAGTATTTTACTTATAATATGCATATCTATTGGTTTTCAATTAATTATTTTACAAGCGCTTTGATAAAATAAATTTCTTGTGGGGTAAAAAAGATGATAGAATCCTGTGCTCTAATGAGTTGGGAGTACATATGTTATAAGAAGAACAAGAAGGATTGGGTTTTTTTTTAATACAAGGACACAAATTAAAAGTTGAACAAAATTAGATCATGTTAGATTTTATAAGAGATCTGCATCCTGAGGACGGATGATTGTAAATAATAATATCAAGATTATTCCAAGAGACTAGGTGAGCGAGCATGTCTGCACATTTATTTACTTCCCTAAATGTGTGTTTGAAGGTAATGATTTAATCTTTCATGACCAAAGTTCTAACTCTGTTGATAATAGAAGGATTGGATTTTATAAGGGAAACAAATCAATACTAGTTATTGGTAAATGAGCAATGGCCATTAAGATGGATGAAAGGAAATTATCTGAGAAGAGGACTAAATATATTATAGTTTGATGTCTAGCTAACCAGCTTCTTTTTTTTTTTTTTAACCTCTGACAAGGGCACTTAACTAAAAGTTTATTAAAGGTTCTGATATTGTAATAATAGATCCTTTCCTTTTTTCCTACTACAAGATGAATACTTCTCAATTCTCATGTCTTATTCATAATGTAACACACCAAAATTTTTTTTTTTTAATAATTTAACTCAACATAGTTGGGTTACAGCCACCCAATACATTTTTATATCAATAATTTCGATATAAAATATTTTATAATTGGCTTCAACTCACACACTATAACATTTCAGATAAATTTTTACCTCCCACATGCCATTAGGCTAAATCACATTTGTCCATCCTTATACTCCCAACAAGTAAACTAAATCACATTTGTCCATCCTTATACTCCCAACAAGTAAAATAAGCAATTTAGTCAATTTTCAACACAAGCCAGTTATTTGGCCTTATAATCATGCCATTTTAACCAATCCAAAGTAAACCAAATATTAAAATTACAGTCATCCAAATTGTACCAAAAATAGAAATAGTTTGAAAGGCATGATTACATTTATATATTCATATAATTGACAATAAACAAAAAGCCCTAATATTGGCAATATAACACATTATAAATCATAAATTAAATACCCAAAAGAGACAGTGGATCTATACCACTAAGTCTCTGGGACTCCTCCACGTGTCACTCGTGGCTCTTCTCCTGAAAATTGTTAACCACATAATGAGACTCAAAAGTCCCAGTAACCAAAGCCAATTTATGATAGTGTATACAAACAGTTAAGTGTGTGTTTACTAAGTGAGAATTAAAAATAATATAATTCCAATAAATATAAGAAATAATACAATACACACAAACAACCATCCTTATATCTCTCCATTAACCTCGAGCCGTAGCCCTCACTCGGTGCTAAATTACCCGGCCAAAGGTAGATTAGCCCGAGCCCTTACAAGCCACCTATTGAGCTCCAATAGGGGCGTACCACGTGGCACATAAATACAACAATAATAGCAAGTCTCCCAACACCTCCCACAATAAATAAACAAATTCATAATAATATTGCACAATTATACAATATTACAAAATTCATAATTTTCTCAATAATCACCCAATTAACATGAAGTAACACTAATCACAAATTAAAAGCATGGTTACCTTGTGGCTTTTTCAATAAATTATTCCTTAAAATTTCTCTCTCACCACAATCTTCACCAGTAATACAATCTACAAATAACATATTATTATAAATATTAGTTTCAATTTTTGAAACTAATAAAATAATTCTAATAATAGAATTAAAAATATAACATAATTCCTAATCTCAATCTTAATACAAATCTATAGTTAATACTATTAAGTATAATTTTTAACTCCTCTTTTAATTATCAATAAACATTAATAATCTAAAAATCAACTTCTAAACTAATTTCTATTATCAAAATTTTCTTTTTATTTTATAAATTCGCACCTAAAATACTCAAAATTTAAAAATTGAGTCTCTAGCTTAGAATCATAATCCTATAGCCATAATAATTCATTTCTCATCCCAAATAATCATCTAAACCTCAATAAATCAACATATATTTTTAGATCTAGTTTAGAATTTGATCCATAAGCCATAAATTCAAAGATCATTAACAAATTTATACTCTATAACATTTATTATACTACTGACAACCTCAAAAACCATATTTATTCAACATAAATTCATCCCTCTTCCAGATCTTAAATTTTCTACCACTACAAACTCAGAAACCAAAGAAGAAGGATGACTAAGAAAAAATTTAGAACACTTACTTAGTCTTGAAAAGCTTAAAATCACACCCTAAATATCCTATTAAAAACTCTTACCTTAAAAATTTAGATATTTCGCACCGGTGACTCGCGTTCTCTCCGCCTCAGCTCGCGCGCAGGAATGAATGAGGAAATGAAGGAAGGTGAGTTTTTATAAAAATTCAGTGGGTCCCACACATTTTTTTTATTCTTTTCTCTCTCTTCTTTCTTTCTTTCTTCTTTTTTTTATTATTATTATATTTTGCTGTTGAGGCGGCGGCTGCGTTCACGTTTTCTTCCTTTCTTTCTTGTTTTTACACCTTTTTTTATTATAATAATAATTTAATAATATTATTTTTTTAATTATTTTTTTTATTTTTTTTAAATTATTTTTTTTAAATTTCTATTAACCCAAATTAACTATTAAAATTTATATTGGGATGTTACACATAAAGTAGAGAGTGTATTTATTTTGGTCTTGTTTATGAGAGGCACTTCAATTATTAGTAAATTCATCTTGACTATTTTGCCCCTATTAAATATTAGTAAGCTTATTAAATATTAAAGTATTTCATTTTAAAGTAGATATATTTAGTAGAAATAAAGTTAAAACTTGTTGAAGCAAGTATATTTAGTAGGAGTAAAATTAAAAATTTGTTAAATTTTTAAATAAAATTAACGAGATTTAAAAATTTCCTTAACTTTGTAGGAAATACTTGAAATGATTTATAAATATAACTAGAGTGAGTATTTCTTAATTAAATACCCATTTTAACAACTCTTTTTGGTTTCGTGTAAGTAACCTCTAACACGTTTTATTCAATCAAGAAAAATTTTAAACCTAATACATCTTTTAAAAAAATTTAATAAGTTTTAAACTTTATTTCTATTAAAGGTAAATTATTTAATAATATACTTTCCATCACCAATTTTAATTGAAGATAAATGAGCAAGTTTGATATAAAAGTTGGTATT